TCCAATACCTATGGAACTTGTTTTAACTCAAATCAAGTAAGTGGGTGCCGACTCAATAGCAAGTGAACCATTCTTGTTTGTTAGTATGGTCTTACGAGCCTTGCGCAAACAGACTATAGCTATCGTCAAACAGATTACAATTGACATGAGGGTTAAAAGTAAATTTGCTGTTTCATTTTCTAACATAAACTTTGAATTTTGATAATTGGAGCCGATTTGGTTAGCATGTGGAAAAAGATGACTGATGAAAAATCAAGATGAAGTAAATTTTAAGTGGAAGTATCAGATGAAGTTACCCAGGAAAGGCATATGTAAGTAAACATTTAAACACTTTGGAAAGTTCTTAAAAATAAACCTTACCTCTGCAGGTTTCCTCGCAAAGTTCATAGCTGATAAAGCTATTTTCATTGCCTCCAATACCTGTATAGGTAAGTTCATGGCAGCCATCGTTAGTCCAATCGTAATAAAATCTTCTCATTGCCTTATTTCCATGGCCTGTAGCTGGCGGCAGATGGCATCGATTTACTACTAGAAATTCCTTTTCCTTGTCATGCACCTACTTTTTTTCCAGTGAATAACCCAAATCAAACCAACATTTTCTATTCCTTGGGCAACAGTAATAGCTTGAGTCGTCGTCACCTTCGTGACACCAAAATCCCGTCGGGCATCTGTAGATATGAAATCGTAAGACGGCGGGAAGAAAAAAACATTTGAAATACAAATAGAGAGGAAGAACGTGATGATTACACTGCGCTTACGCACTTCTGCTCGCGTAACCACGGCCGTGGTTGACAGGGTCGAGGCCGATGGTCCTCCATAAGTAGTGGAATTCCATCGGCGCACAGAAGAGAGAAATCTAAAGAAAATAAACGTTGGTTTACCATTTTAATAATGAGATAAGGATAAAAAAATTTCTAAGAAGTTTACAATTGTAATCTAAGAAATGGACATCAGTCTAGATTTTTATGAGTATGTGAACAGATAACTCGAGTTTCCGTAAATCTCATTCTTTCGCATAATTCACCTTCTCAAATCGACTTTGATGTACCTAAATCGTTAAAATTCTTCGAGTTTTTCAGAAAAAATCTCTGTCATTCTTTCAGAAGTTCTTAGGCAAAAAGAGAGTAGCCATTCCTCTTTCCCGTAAGGGATCTAGGCTAGAATTTTAAAAATCGTTAACATCTCGTCTCGCTGTATTCAAAATTTGGACATTAGGCAACTTTTGCAAATCATTTTGAGTTTTGCTGTTTTTCTCCGTGAAGCGCTTATGTAAAACGCTAATTATCTTTTCTTGAGCATTGAGACGCAA